TATATATATAGAGGGAAAACCTTTATAGGCAGAAATAAACAATATAATTTTTATTTAGAGGAGCAACTAACAGAAAAACAACTTATTTTACGTTTATGCATATTACTCAAATTTAAGTATTATGTATAAAAACCTACAATCAAACATTTCATAGTTATATCTTCTTTTTTGCACTTTGTCATAACATTAAACTTAAAGGACAAACAAACCATCATTTATTGTTTACAAATGCCATTTCTAAGTTAATATGACCAGATGGTACATCCGATCACCAGTGATAAATTTCATTTCAACAGGAAATCCTTTAAAAAGAAAAAAAAAGTCTTTATTTTATCCATTGATATTTGTTTTTGACTAGAACATTTCACTTAGAAAAAGAATGATGAGGCAGAGTCTATACAAACCTTCTGGGCTACTTGGTTAACCCAGTGGGAGGTACAGTTGCTAAGATCAGGCCCTTTTGGATGCCATTCCCCAGTGGAAGGAACACATAAATAAGAAGCTGTGCCTGGCAGGAAAAAAAGAGTAAAGTCAAGTTCAATCAAATCACTTTTTCCCCATGAAGTCATTTGCAAAACAGCAAAGGATATAAACAGATGAACAGAAACATGCCAGTTTATAGACTAAAGTCCTTATTCAAATCCAAAAATAAAATGCATAAAAATACAAGCAAGGATATGTATTTTCTGTTTTACTCTGCATGTGTCTTTTAAAAACTTTACGGGAAATGTACACTAAAAATGGGGGATTCATTATGATCCAAAAGCCATTCACAAGTTATTTCAGCAATATTTTACTGGAAATAGTCACAACATTTTATTCCTGCTTTTTCAACAAAGTGCAATACTTTTTTCCCACTCTCTCCAAATCGGTGCCATGTCTGATCAAGTTTGAGCACAATTTCACACACAAATCAAAAGAGAAATACCCATCTTCATGCAAGCTTATGTGGAAGACACGCAAGCCTGCTTCTCTCCAACACAGCCATTACGCATTTCTTAATCAAATTTAGACATTGAATAACACAACTATAACCTAAAACCATTACAAAGTATTTCTCACAGATTTTGTGGCAATTGAGTTTTTTGTAAATAAAACAAATATCCATGCAAGCAGGACTATCCGTCTGATCTGACAAAGTCAGGATTTTCTCTTGAGATGCTTCAAGCATACACAGCAGGCACGCAACCATGAGATGGGAGAAAGCCCTGTTTACCTCGGGTTCCTTTGGGACAAGGTCGCTCCACAAGCAAGCCCCTCTGGGTCTGAGGCCACGTTATGTCTCTTTTCTCAGTGGCTTTGCAGAAGCGCTCGGGTAAGGGGAAGGACTCCAGGGGAGGAGGAGACGTTGTCTGTGGAATTACAGGAGGTGGCCTGGGCGCTCTCCTGCTGCCCTCCTTAAGCACTGTTGTGGTTGTCGTATTGGCTGCACCCCAGTGTGCTGTGGTTGTTGTAGTGACGGTTGTAGTTCTCTGAGGCTGTGTGGATGCAGTGGCTTCCGACAGTGGCGGTTCTGCGCAGACAGATGGGGTAAAGGGACATTGTGATTTGGGTGAGCACTGACAGCTCTGCAGAGAAAACACGATCACTGCCATGATTTATGAAGCACGCTTTTTACTGGGACATATCTCTGCATTTTAAAAAAGCAGCATTGTAAATTAAGAAAACAAGTAGTTAGAATTTTAGTTTCACACTGATTTGATTGTCGGATTGTCCGTAAATGGCACAGATATTTCCCCATTTTACAAGTGCACAGATATACTGGGGAATCTTATAGATTTTTTCAAAAACTTTGCTCAAATTTGTGTCAGAGCTGACAGGAAACAAATTTGCCACCCCCTAGCTCTCCACTTGTGGATGCTGTTATCCTTTGTTGCATTCAATTTACATTGTATTCACAGAACTGGTAAATGGTAGTGACGTCATTTCCCAACAAACCATATGAAACTGCATTCCACTTAGCCGACAGGCAATTGTATTGTTGCCGCTAATCTAGCTACAACACTGCTACAGTATAATCAATGACAAAAAGAGAGCTCTACTATGTATGTCATGCAAATAAACATTGATTTTAATAAGTACAGTATTGCACAGAAAATACACTACTTGTGCGAGTGATTAAACATGCACAAAACATTAAGAAATATAATTAACAGTAAAAGTTATGGAGTTAGCTTTCTAAAGCTGCAAATTGCCGCCATCTTGAAATTGAAACTGGGAGCAGTTTCATTTCTTCCAGTATACAAGTGGAATATTGCCACTGGAGGGGGCATTCCAGTTTTAATCTACCAATGGAAACAGGGAAATTACAACTTCCCAGGACTACTGGAACTCAGCAATAGTCTCTTTCTGGCCGACAGTCCGCTTCTTTACCTCCCCTCCAATTATGCTCCAATTTTTGTGACAATTATGGATTTCTGAGGGTTAAGTACATGTCCAAAGGAGTTGACATGTATGGTAATGTCCAAAATATTTTCTCAGAATGCCTAGAGCAATAATCATGTGATGGTGGAAGCCCTTAAGCCCAAAGGTCTTCAGCCCTGTTCTTTGTGATCCACTGTCCAGCACGTTTTAAATGTTTCCCTGCTTCAACACACCTGACTTAAATTAATGAGTTATTGACAAGCTTCTGCTAAACTTGATACCATTTTCAGTAGGTAATTTAAATATTTGAATTATGTGTTCCAAAGCAGGGAAACAGATAAAACATGCAGGACAGTGGGTCTCAAGGAAGAGGATTGAGGATCTCTGCTTTAGCCCATCCCTTTGATCCTTTAAGTAATGTTTTACTTAGTTTTTTCTCAACATAGTTAGAATTTGGATAATTACATTTCATTTAATGCAGCAAGCATATMATTATACTATTGCTTTTTGAAGTTGATGACTCTGAACCATACAAGACAATATTTAAAAGTGTAAGAATTGTTGGGTTAGGGTTAAGGTTTTCTGACAGTCTTCTGACCTGTGATGAACTTGCAACCCGCCTTTTGCACAGTGACCACTGGAAATACACTCTCCTGTGACCCAAAATGGAAAAAGGTTGGCAAAGAAAATAGATAGATGGATGAAGCAACACCACCTTGTATGCACTACCCATGTTGCCAGAACACTCATTTTCCAGTTATTCCTCTAAAACAAATGCATACTCTGATACAGTGCTGTTACTCATGCAACGACATGGGCAAAAACAACACTTCCTAGTCTGAGGGAAGAATAAAAAATGCACTTCTTAAATTTAACATGAGTTACAAAGGAAAATTGAGGATATATTTTTTGAGTGAGGTATTCCTGTGATTGCATTTTATCTAAGTCAAATATGAGTTGCTCTCTAGATAAAATGCTGATAAATCTTTTTGATCCAAATCCACTCTACACTATTACTAAACAAAACCATATCAGCCATCAAAGACATGTTTGTTGAATTTAAAAAAAGGATATGCTACATCAATCAAAGGAAGCCTGACTGGAATGCAAGGTGCATACTGAACCTAATCGTGTTTGAGTACTTTGATTTCCTCCATTAGGCTGCGTGTAGAGCATGCAGCGCGAGCAAAGCGGTGCTGTTACACTGCTTGAGTTGAGCCCAGTTGCTCTCAGTAGTTTTCACGCAGGGGTGAAAACACAGATGAGAGGCAGTTGCAGAAAAAGGAAGACAGTTAGGTTAGGAAGATGCAGGACAAGCGAAACAGAAATGGGTGGTGGTGGATAATGACAGCAAAATTCAGCAACAATTATGTTTTTGTCTTTTGGTGGATTGGTGGAGAATCAGACAGACCCCGGGTGACAACACTTCCATATCTGCTGCCTCCATTGGATAATGGGAGTGACTGAAAGCAAACCTCAATCCTCACCAACACACATACACAAACACACAAGTGCTACTATCAACATAGGCCCCTTGGAGTGGATGAAAGGCTTCAGCACAGTTGAGCTGAAGGGAAATCGCCTTTGAGGCCCACTGCTACCTGTGGTGAATTAGGCTCTATTGACCAGAGGAGATGACTCTGTGCACTCCCTCCTGTTGAGGGCTACAGAACCACACAAACACACACACACACACATACGCACATGATCAGGTGACGTGACAGCGCACACAGCTGGCCAGCTGGTTTGACACAGAGCTGAAGGCCGATTTGGCTGGCTGGCTTCACCTCCGTCTCCTCCTTTCTTGCCCCTCCTCCCTTACCTGCATCCCTTTACTCAACACCGTGAAATGCTCAGCCGCACAGCCTGTCACAGTGGCTGAAAGACAACCTGTGCTTAGTGTCCTTTCAACACTAGCATTTAGCTGGCTGAGAGAAATGTTTGTTTCTCTCCTGCACCAATAACCCTTTATTGATGTAACCATTTTTTACGGCTTACAACAATGGCCAAAAAAAGAACCTTTAAAAAAAACTGGTTAAATTTACATTGTTTGATGACAATAGATGTGTATCACCACAGCTTTTAAATCATTGTTTTAGCTTCTTTTTTAAACATCTGAGGCAGAGTTGCCTGGCAAATGTCCAGAGGAACCCCAAGGAACTTGATGGGGGCCCTGTAAAGGTTTCTCATTTCCAAAAGTATGAAMGATAAGATCTCAGGCTCCGTGGATGAGGTGGAGGGTTTAGAATCCAGACAGAAATAAAATGAAAATGAATCTCTGTTCAGCAGCATGATGTAAGATAAAGGGATCAGAACTACAACCAATAAATCAAAGAGGTATCTACTGTAATCCAAGTACATTCCTGCACCATGTCAACTAGCAACTGTAACTTGTCTGCACCCTCCTTCAACTTGCCTGTTGTCAYGGCTGGCTGAAACACTGACTTTAACATTCCAATTACAGCAAGTAAAAATAAGTGTACTTGAAGATTTTATTTATTTTTAGGTTGTACCAAATATTGTTTTCACGTCAGAGTTTCCCTCAGTGTACTATAGCCCTGGTGGCCCTCCTGCCCTTACTTGCTCCCCACCGCACCCATRCTAAGCATTGTTTGCTTATTTAGAGAGCCAGCTGAGTTTTGAGTTTTTTTGTGCCACTGGAGATTTAGACAATGGGTGGTTAGTACCTATAACAACACAGCCATCCATTACTACGGAATTAGAAATAATACTGCTCCATCCCCCGGGGATTATAAATGCTATCACCAGCCTTAGCAAGCACTTCAAAATCAAAATTGTACCTTTTATCTCTAAAATTTGATTAAGCTGTGCAAAATGTCTCTTTGTAATGTAATAGGGGTCGTATTTTTTTTTTTTACTTTTACATATATATTTGTTAATCTTATAAATCGTAAATACAGTTTATTCGAAACAAAAACAAAACAAATTTAATTTTGTATCAAATGGCTTTGCAGTGCATCACACCGTTTCATGTTATTATCAATTAGAAACTGGACAGATAATTACAGCTAGCTTTAATCATTAGAAGGCTAAAACTAATAGTTTTGACTATAATAAAATATTTATATTTAAGAAGGATTGCCAATTAACAAACTGAATGGCTTTGTATACGAAAAAAAAAAAGCTGTGATGTGTCCACACTGCATCTGCTGAACTTTAACGAGCTTCATTAATGAGGAATTATATGAGTCAAACACATTATATCAAAAGGCTAAAATAATCCTGTTGGTGGGGGTTTCATGTTATGTTTATGGTGCAAAGTAATCCTCTTTCCTGTGTGGAAAAAGGCGCTAATGTGAATGTAAGCCATACTTTCCAKCTACATTTGTGCATAAACAATCCAGCCTCTCTGACCGCGGCTATTCTCGTGTGCATGGCGTGTTTGCTCAAAATGCTGCAAACATCACAATAATCTTATTGTGCGATGGCGTGATTCAACTTAATCCCATGAAAGCTGGAAGGAATTAACCTGAGGTATTGAAGTGGTCACCTCTGTGGTAGTTGCTTCACAGAAATGTCCAACCGGATGAAATTTTAACTAGAAGTTGTGAATGAGGCTTATTGATCGGTTGCTAGTGCTGCAGAAGCCTTTTTTTCTGATTCATAACATCTTGCTTTCCACTGAGGCATCACATGTCAGAATTTCCCTGTACAATTTTCCTTTGATAACGACAAAAGTAGAAAGTTGGCTGTTTGGGGTATGCAGTGAAAACCAGGACAAGATTCTTGATTATTATGTCTCTGCTGCTCTCAGCCCAAGGGGAAGCTTCAATTAGCTGTCACTGAGCGTGAGTGGATAGACTGATATTCTCCAAAGCACTGCCAATAGTCAGAACAGACTTATTCATAACCTCCATGTGAGTCAACGCCCACACATTGTTGCACTTCTCAGTATTTCTGTTATTACCGCTGGGGCTCTAGGTCTGGAATCAATGACAGAAAATGAGATGGGAATCAAAGAGAAGAGTATGGCTTGCTGAGTGTCAGAGCATCCTCATGCATGTACAGTAAGAAGTTAGAAACACACWCACACACTAAACATGCAGCCTAGTAGATGAGACCAGGATTGAGTATTCACGTCAGGATGACAAATGGAAACCGACAGCAGACGTGTCTGTTATATTATGT